GTGCATCACCCCATAAAATTAAAGTCTTTCATTGTAAGAAAAGTAGAACTAGAAATGTAGTTTTCGGTTGAAATTGACGTAAAATTCAATCATATTTTTATAGCCCGATAAACTTTATAAATTCATCGTTTCCCCAAGTTTACAAAAATTTCAAAGCAAAATCCAGCTACAAATATACCGCAAAATAAATAAAAGACAAATCTAAACAATTATCAAATTTGGGAGCACTTAAGCTATTTGTACATATTTTTTTGTGAAGTTAGCTCGAGTACATTGTAAAGTCATAGCTTTCTAGCTTTCTTTCAAAATATAAATTATTCAAAATAATTTATAATAAAAATGCGTAAAATAATTTGGAAAAATACGAAATTATTACAAAATTTCTGGGTAAATCATCTCATTAAATCGTAAATATCCACTAGAAAAGTAGAAACTCGTGTACTTTGTGGATTTTAAAATAAATAAAATCTCAAATAAAGATCTTATGCCACAATTTGTTTTGATCTAACGGAAATTCAACTTCGCCGAACACTTACCTGTTTATTTTTGACAGTATCGAGTACATCGTAAATTTACATCTTTCGAGGTTACCATTATCAACTTAATTTGCAACAAATACGATTTTGCAAAATTCGGAGTAAATTGCTTCATTTCATTAAATTCATTAAGACTTTAATTTTACAAGGCTCTAGAGCCCTGTAATAAAATCCGGTTGAAAAGTATAAAATCGTGTATTTTATACGTTTCATTACAGAGGTCAACGCCGACCAATTTGGCGGCGGCGGCGCCAATTTTGGGGGTATTTCGGCGCGGCGGCGCGGCGCGGCGGCGCGGCGCGGCGCCTCAATGTTGAAGGAATAGGAAATTAGATTTACCGGAGGCGGCGGCGCGTAAAATGCTCTCGGCGTATGGCGGCGCGGCGGCGTGAGATCGGCGGCGTTAACCTCTGTTTCATTACCAATAAAATTCAGTGAAAATGAGGCTGGACAAGAGTTCTCAAAATAAATAGATTTCCTCGGAAACGCAGATTTTCACTTGGATCCGTGTTTACTCGATCGTTTCTAATATCACGGGTCACACGCTCTCATCACGTCTCGCCGCACATCAAATTGAATTGTAATCCTGGTCAAAGAACGAAATCTCTCGTGCTCTCGGCGCGTATGTGGATTTTGTTCTGTTTTCTACAACTCTGTTTAGATTCTAGGGAAGTTCGAGAGGGTATAAACAGGGTTAGGGGTTCCAGTCCCGGGATTTTATTCCCGGGAATTCCCGGGAAACGGGATCCCGAAATCCCGGGATTTGAAGAACTGAAATCCCGGGATTTCGGGATTTTCAATTCGTCATTCAGAGCTGAAAATTACTTATAATTTACAATTTTAATAGCAATTTTACATTATTTTCGGTTATATGATGATTGGTAAGAAAAGTTTCGATGACGTAACCATACAAATTGATCCTGGACTCGAAAATCGAAATGTTTAACAATATGGTTAGCCACATTTTTCTAACCCGTATACATATGTACATATATTTATACATATCTAAATTATATAATTCAAAATGAAATTTATAGTTCAAGATCGAGCTTCAAATTCCCAATTTCGATGTTAGATTTTAACTTGAACTAAGCAAGATTATAATCATAAAATCTGAAATCAGTTATGCTCAAAAATGCTATTATGTTAGAAGTGAGTTCGAATTTTAGCCGATGAATTTAAAGCTAAATTTAATGCGTTTTGCACGAAGTGGTTCATATATTTGATCTTGAAATTTTTGAATTGCTAAACGTCATATCCAACCGAAGTTTTTGAATAATGGTTCGCAATTTAGGCCAAATAATATAAGTACGTCAATTTGGGCATTTCGGGTTAACATTCTTGGTTAATTATTTAAGATTTCTGGAATGAAATTGTCAAACTTTTGCATATCACATATCACCTCTCAAAGATAGAGGGCGAAAATTGGGCTACGCCGAAATACACCGAGATTTAACATTTTCAATAGCAGGCAAAACCATATAATCGCTAATTTGAATTGTTACCATATTTATTTTGAGTTGACCAGAAAATAGCATACTTTATAATAATATTCATGCATGCACAGAGCCCGAAAACACATAAAGAGATATGTAAGTATTATAAATACGCTCAGGCGCTGTACTTTTATAGTCATGTACCTTTTTGTATACCCAAATTTGACTAATTTGAAGTTATAAGGTGATATTTGAATTTCGGGAAAAAATCCCGGGATTTCCCGGGATTTCTCACGGCCAAAACCGGGAATCCCGATTCCCGGGATTTCCAAAATCGTCCGGGATTGGGACCCCTAAACAGGGTGGGGTAAAAATTTGAGGAAATAATTGAGTAAAAAAGTTTTAGAGTTTGGGAGAATTTTATACATTAAGAAAATTCACGCAGTCCTTGATAGCTTGCAAAATCTGCGCGTTTAGTAAAATAAATTTACAAACTTGTACAAAATAAACCGTAGTAACGTTAGAAGTAGCTCACCCTATAATAATGATTTGGTTATAACTTGCCCCAAAGGCGCAGAAAAATGCAACAAAATAGATATATAATTTTTATGCAATATTGCACCAATGGTGCAGAAAAATCCAACAAAGTAGATCAATAATTTTTATGCAATAGTGCACCAATGGTGCAGACCAATTAAACAATATAGCTCAATAATTATTATGCATCGAGGAAAGTCCAAATATTGTGCATCACTGATGCAGATTATCCTACCAACGATCAACGATAATTTTGAAAAATTTATGTCAAAATTGTCTAATACACTCCGCCGAGTAGTATGCATTATTGGTGCGTTATGCATCCCATCCCCCAATTATTTCGCATCATTTTGTGTTACCGATTGTTAGATATCAACGGTGCTATTAATTTATTAAAAAATTCGATTCGGTTTGTTCAATACCAATGGTGCGCCTAACATATTCAATAATTGTCAAGGGGATTTTTAAATAGCATCAATTGATGCAAAAAACTTGTTAACAGACGGACAGACAGACAGACAGACAGACGGACAAGAGGAATTCAATAGCTCTCATGCTACGCAGGGTGAGCTAATAAAGGATCTGAGTAACTTTATAAAAATTTGTAAGGTAATTTTCCCCAGAAATATTCGTAAAATTTTGTGCAAGTTTGTACGCTTACAGAATTTACAAAGTTGCCAAGGACTGCGTGAATTTCTTCACTATGTAATTAATTTGTCTAATTGTCATTATTATTTAGAATTTGTATTAAATTTGTATTATGCAATGTGTATAATGCTAAAATTAGTAAAGTAAAGTTTTGCCCTAATGCCGTATAAAATCTCGATCATAAAATTCACACCATTTTGTGTAATGCATAAAATTCGATGCATCAAAAAAAATTGTAAAATGTGCACACAAAATTTGCACATCTGCAGAAATAACGCGAAAAACTAATTTTAGTGATGGTATTCTTATAAAACTGTTGAAACCTGAGGCAGCACTGTGATAAAATAAGAAATGTACGAAAAATATGTATAGAACATGTGTGAAAAATCCCAATAGTTTTTGTGTAATTCATGAATCGGGCTCTGTCAAACTACGCTTCATGAGAAGGATGAAATGTTTATAGAAACAGGAATGTTATCAATACAGACAAGCAGGATTACGACATAATTTCAGTTTTATTACATGTTTTTGTGGGGAATAAAAGGGATGAGTTTTGGAAATGCGAGTTACTTTGTTATGGCAAATCACCCAGAATTTTGAATAATTTCGTATATTTTACTAGTTATTTTACACATTTTACAAATTATTTCATACATTTTACAAATTATTTTACGCGTTTTATAAATTACTTTACGTTTTACAAATTACTTTACAAATTATTTTACAAATTATTTACACATTTTATAAATTATTTTGAAAATTATTTACACATTTTACAAATTATTTTGAAAATTATTTTACCAATTATTTACACATTTTACAAATTATTTTACACGTTACAAATTGTCGTCAAGAATTTAAAATGATTAGAATTAGGTAGTAATTGAAGGAAAATTTGTGAAATTAAGAGACCGAAATAAAAATGTTTATATCTCCATATTTTGATATTTATGGTTAGATATCATCAGGTTTCAGATCTGGGGTTCGATTTGTACGCCGGTAAGATAAAAGTCTTGCACAAGGTTATGGATGGTTTACATTTCCGAGATAAATTGTTGATTTTCTGGTCTCTCGAGTCAATATGCAGCCTCACATTTCGCCCAATTACACAAAATTTCAAAACCAAAGTGTAAAAAATGGATTTTATTTTACTACATTTATAATCCAATTATTATGTATTTTTAATTTGATCCCTATTTTTTCCATTTAATTTTCCTTTAGTAAAAAAATCTTTCAATATATATGAAAATTTCCGAAATATTATTGGCAAAATTAAAATATTCGTATTACTTATAAGAAAGATAGAAAATAATATTGGGAAATATTATTTTGAACGTTTAATAAATCGCTACATGAAAATTTTCAAAATGCATCAATAAACATTCTCCGTTAAAATTTGCATAGCATTTTGTATAAAATCTATATAGCATTTAGCAGTACATAAAAAATCATCTTTCACAATTTGAAGTATTTGTTAAAATAAAAACTAGTTTGAACTAATTGGTATTTTTTAGCTCATCGTTTCACTCATTGTAAATTACTCCATTCGTCAAATAAAGGCAGGGTTAAGCATTAACCGATGGTGATTCTACGGGTAAAAAAAGTGTTATTCTTGTCCGAATGTACTCAACGTCCTCCAAACTGACTTTTGTTTGCATTCGATGGTTTTTTTGGCCTGTCCAATCTCATGACCATGACAGCTAACAACTGATGCAACCGTATTGCCGTGTTTCATAAGAGTAGATATTGTAGTCTATTCGCCCATGGACTAATGCCTCAACATGATTACAACATGTGCGAAATTATATAATCCAAAATTTCCTTATATTCGCCACACCATGCAATCCACTCCATTCTGAACAGAACGAGCCGGCCGTGCTCATATGTGTTACCCACAAAAATATATAAAATTCGCAGCTTTGCACAATTTCAATACTATATAAAATTCGAAATTTGACAGTTTCAATAAGCTGCATGCGCTTTTGCGTATCGAACCGGTAACAAAACCAACCTCAAAATAAGAACATATCGTACATACAAATATTCCCTTACTCAATAAAATTCGCAATTTTTCTGCACACTGTTTCAATACAATATAAAATTGCCAACATTTCTGCACACAATTTGCATCTATTTGCTTTTACAATCCACTCCTCTGTGACACAACTCATCTCCACGTGCTCTTTTCGTTTCTCAAATATTTCGCAAATTTTAAATAAAATTCGCAAACTTTCTGCCCCTACCATGGAACTCGCCACTTACCTCTCCATCCTCCTCTTTCTCGCCATATTCCTCATCTCTTACGTAATCTACTCCCTCATTTCCGAAATCCTCTTCTTCCGCTCTAAAAAAATCCTCCACCTGGGAAACTCCTACCTCACCGCGTTCTACTACATGACCTTCAAATCCAAGTCCATGTGGGAACTCGTCCACGTGGCCTACACAAAAACCCGCCAGGCCAACGTTCCCATCGCCGGAAACTTCGAGATGGGCCTCGTCAACTACTTCATCCCCGATTTGACCATCTTGAAACACATTTTGGTCAAGGATTTCGACCATTTCGTCAACCGACGAGCGATCACGATCCCAAAAAGTGACCTTCTAACGAAGAAGATGCTCTTCTTTATGTACGACGAACCCTGGAAGGCGCTCCGGTCGAAGTTATCCCCGACCTTTACGACGGGCAAGATTAAGCGGTTTTTTGCCCTGTTTAACGCCTCGGCGAAAAAGTTGGTGGATTATATCGACGCCCAAACTGAAGGGGAAGTCGATTTGGTCGCGGCATATTCAAAATTCACGACGGATACGATCGCGTCCGCCGTTTGTGGCATGGATTCGTGCGCTTTTGAGCAAAAGGAGCATTCGGTTTTTGAACGGATGGGACAAAAGTTACAGTTCAGCTTTAATCTCGGCATGATTACGAGGTTTGTGGTAATGTCGTGCTTTCCCGGGATTGCGGAACGCGGGATGACGATTTTTGGGGATGAGGTGTCCGCCTTTTTTGGCGGGGGGATTAAATCGTTGATTAGGGAGAGGACTCAGACGGGGCGGAAGGGGAACGATTTCATCCAGTTGATGATGGAGGCGAGGGAAAATAAGTTGGCGAAGACGGAGGACAGTGAGTTGGAAAGTTTCGAGAGGGATGCCGTGATTAAGGTGAGATTATTAATAGGCATAGATTTTAAATCTCACTTTGCCTCTGTGAAATTTTTTTGCAACTGCGTTACGCCGTTTAAGGTATCGCAACAGTTTTAAACTATTTGGTAAGGTTTCAGATAAGATCGTCACACTAGTGATTATGTTATAAGAAGAAAAAAATTAGTGTTTTTAAATGCAAATTCCTCAAATGGCGTCGATTTCATGGGTTTTGGGATATATTTATATAAAATTAATTTTTGGCAGGACAAAAGTGTGGATTTGTTAAAAAAATTGTTTTTGAGGAAATTTATTCCAAAAAATGACTAATGAACTAGCAATTTTTTGTCAACTCGATAGATTAGTAAACTTAACTTTACATTAAAGTATAAAAAATTGCATTTATCTCAAAATTCGTGAAATTGCAAAATGATACTATTGTGGAAATTCGCATTTAAAATCATTTCACAGGGGTAGAGTGAGATTTACAATCTATGCCACATCTAATCCTTATCATATTGCACCTTAAGGGCGAGGTCAAAGGTCAAGTAGCCGACCTGTTAGATGACGACGGGATCGTGTCGAATTGCGTGTTGTTCATCGTCGCGGGGTACGACACGACGCAGTCGCTGTTGCTCTTTTGCGCCTATGCGTTGGCGATTCATCCCGAAATTCAGGACAAGTTGAGGACCGTGGTGGACGAGGGGTTGGAGGAAAGTGGGGGCGATTTTACGTATGAAGGGATCAATCAGATGACCTATTTGGACATGGTGATCAATGGTGAGAGAAATGTTCACATACTAAAAAATAAGCTTAACATTATTCGATATTCATATAAAATACGTCATGTTTTTACAGATTTGGTATATTTTCTAGAAAATTTTATAATTCAAAATTGAAAATTTTTGAAGTACAATCAAATTTTTTGAAAACCAATTGTATACAGTCCACCCCAATATTTAGAAGCTCATTTTGTTGTTAATCCCTTAATTTCGAATGTTTGTTACGTAATAATCTATTAAACTTTGTATAAAATTATGTAACAAACTTTTAAAACCTGATTTCATACTTCTTGCTGGGAAATTTATTATATAATTTCATATTTTTTTTTTACTTTTGCAAATTTAGTTCACACGAATTTTTGTAATCCCGTAAACCGTATGTAGCTGTACATATGTACTGCTTTAATTAAATTCAAGATTATCAAACATCCAAATTTACCCTCTTTATTAAAAAAGTAAGAAGAGACGAATCTTAAATTTTATAAACCAGTTCAAAAACCCTGCAAAACTTTAAACGGCGTACCAGATTGCAAATTTGCAAAAAAAAACTATTTCTATGTATGTGACTTCCTTACCCGCATTTTTTTTTTCCTGTGTAGAAAACCTTGTACATAAATTATGAATCATTCAAATGAGATTTGCAAAAGCAGTTTGTGTTACAATGTTGAAAATTTTAAAAATTCAGGGTGGGAAATTTATCGTATAATTTTATAAATTTTCTAACTTCTAGAAATTCAATTCATGGGAATTTTTATAATCCCGGAAAATATAAGTTTATTTTAGAACAAACATGAAATATGTACACGTTTAATGAGAAGTTTACTGACAATGGAGGTCTCCCAACGTATGCTCACAGATTTGGACCAAACTAGCGTCAATCGATCACAAATATAATTAGGATGAAATTTGCAAATGGAACTATCTGTCAATGCGCAGGTTTGGCGGAGATATTTGCATTCAAAGTGGGAAAAATACGTAGCAAATTTGGAAAATTAAATTTGCCACCCTTGGAAGTGCGTTTGCTCCTCTTTTTTTAAGCAAATATCTCCGCTAAACTTGAGCATTGGCAGATAGTGCCATTTGCAAATTTCATATTAATTATATTTGTGATCGATTGACGCTAGTTTGGTCCAAATCTGTGAGCATACGTTGGGAGACCTCCATTGCGAGTTACAAATTAGTTAATATTCTTTAATTAAATTCTTGATTCGGGCACAGTTTTTTTATATAAAAAATAACCGGTCTATAACCTAAGATTTTGCTAAGCAGTTCAAAAATGCGGCCAAAGTAACATTTACGAAAGTAGGTTGTGTTACAATGTTCAAAATTTTAAAACTGATGTCTCGTATTTTACATTAGCATATGTATTGGAAAATCGTAAAAATTTTGAAATTCAATTCACACTAATTTTTGTAATCCCGGTAACTGTATGTCTATTATATAAGATCATGATGCAAACTTGTTTCAAATTTGTGGCGAGAAGTTTACTGCGTACCAAACCGGTTAATAGGCTTTAATTAAATTCACAATAAGCCGGCATTAAAATCTTTTTTTTTATAAAACAATTATGACACAGCAATTAAGGATCTTAAATTTTGTTAAATAGTTTAACTATGCTGCGATACTTTAAACGGCGTATCGCAGTTGCAAAAAAGTAATATTTACGAAAGTATTGAGTTTGCTTCTGTTACAATGTGAAAATTAAAAAGAAACTCATGAGTCGTATTTTTTAGGGAGAAATTTATCGCATAATTTCATAAATTTTACTCTTTTAGGAAACTCAATTTTTGTAATCCGGGAAATTATATGCATATTTTTTAAACTCATGACGCAAACTTATACACGTTTATTGAGTTACAAGTGTACAGTTCTGTACTCGTCACTCGTAACTCCTTCGGAACGGGTAATCTGCTTTAATTAAATTCACGATTAGTACCCAAACAAATTTTTGGTTTGGCGAAGCCACAAGATGATCTTAAATCTTATCAAACAGTTGAAAAATGCTGCGACAATTTCACCGGCGTTCTGCAATTGCAAAAATTGCTAAACATTCTGATTCTATGTATGGGATTTTCTACCAGGATTTTTTTTGCTGTGCGGAAAACCTTCTAAATTATAAATTTACAAGAACAAGTAACATTTACAAAAGTAGTTTGTGCACAAACTACTTTAAAAAGAATAAAAAGTTACCACGGCAGTAGAGTCACATAGATAAACGGTAAACATTCCCAGTAAACATTTTGGTAATGAAATTCTTAAGAGTGTGTTAAAATGTTCAAAATTTTAAAAATTCATGATAGGAAATTGATTTGATAAAGAATTTCATAAATTCTGTACCTTCTGGAAATTCAAATAACGAGAATTTTTATAATCCCAGAAACTATACGCTTATTTTGGCAAAAACCTGCGCAAAATATATATTCGCACGATTAATGAGAATTTTACTGGGTTACAAACTTGTTAATATGCTTTAATTAAATTCTTGATTCGGAATCGAATTTTATGTAAATTAATTCCGACGCTGGATCTTATATTTTGTAGATCGAAAATGCTGCGAAACTTGCAATGGTAATGGTAAAAAATTCGAATTCTATGTATGTTTTTTGCCTTGTAATTATGAAAACCTCGTAAATTATGAATTGCTCAAACAACATTTACGAAAGTGGTTTCTGTTACAATGTTCGAAATTTATAAAAACTGATGTCTCGTATTTTATATTGGGAAATGTGATGGAAAATTGTTAACATTTTTGCAACTTTTTGGAAATCTTTGTTTTGCATTCCACGAGACTTTTTTAAACTCATGATACAAACCTGTACAAATTATGCACAGGTTTACTGGTTTACCAACTGGTTAATCGGCATTAATTAAATTCACGATTGACCGTAATTGAAATTTTGTTTCTTTTTCATAAAATACTAATGAATTGCCAATCAAGATCTTAAGGTTTGTTAAACACATGAAATATGCTGCAATGCTTTAAACGGCGTATCGCACTTGCAAAAAAATAATATTTACGAAAGTAGCTTGCTTGTGTTACAATGTTAAAATTTTAAAAAACTCATGAGTCGTATTTTTTACTGGGAAATTTATAGGAAATGTATAATTAGGAAACTTGCTAAAATTTTTGTAACCTTTTGAAATTCGCTTCACAAGAATTTTTGTAATCTCGGAAACTGCGTGTATATTTATAAACTCATGACACAAACTTGTGCAAAATATGTACAAGTTTACTGGGTTACAAAGTGGTTAATCGGCTTAAATTAAATTCACAATTAGCCGGCATTCAAATTTTCTGTTTTTCACAAAATAATTATCACTGGCTAAGGGGGACAGAATCTTGAAATTTTTTAAACAGTTTAAATACGCTGCGATACTTTAAAAACTAATGAGTCGTATTTTTCATTGGGTTAGTTACAAAGCGGTTAATCGGCTTTAATTAAATTTATTATAAGCCGGTCGGCGTAGAAATTTTCTTCTTTTTTTCATAAAATAATTATGACCCAGCAAGTCTCAATCTTCACTTTTGTTAAATTGTTAAAATACGCTGAAATGCTTTAAACGGCGTATCGCAGCTGCAAAAAAGGAATATGTACGAAAATAGTTTGATATAATGTTAAAACTTTTAAAAACTAATGAGTCGTATTTTTTATTGGGAAATTTATCGTATGATTTAATGAATTTTACTCTTTTAAGAAATTCAATTCACTCGAATTTTTTCAATCCTGGAAACTATAGGCATATTTTGAAAAATCATGACACAAACTCATGATACAAAATATGTACATGTTAGTGAGAAGTTTACTGCGTTACGAACGGGGTAATCTGCTTTAATTAAATTCACGATTTGCGTGCATTGAAATTTTATTTTTTTATATGTAAAATGATTCGATTAACAAATACCTTAATTTTTCTTAAACATCTCAAAAACCCTGCGATGCTTTAAACGGCGTATCGCAGTTGGAAAAAAATATCCTACTTATGAGACTTTCAATTCAACAATGGTTTTTTTTGCTACGCGGAAAAACTTGTAAATTATAAATTATAAATCGCCAAAGTAATATTTACAAAAGTAGTTTGTTCATAATTTTAAACCCACGTTTCATATGTTTTATTGAGAAATTTATTGTATAATGGTTATAAATATTTAATTTCATAAATTCTGTACAATTTTAAAATTAAAATCACACGAATTTTTAAATCCTGGAAACTTTAAATATTTTGTAACCGCAAACTATTGTACAAAATACATGATTACAGAGAGGTTTACAGGGTCACAAAGAGATTAGATTCACTATTAGCATGCATGGAAATTTTAGGTTTCGCAAAACAAGAACTCTAATCTTAGATATTACTAAACAGTTTAAAAATACTGCGTATCTTAAACGGCGTTCTGTAATTGCAAAAATTGCAAAAAATTGCGATTGTAAGACTTGCAAAAAAATTACAAAATTTTCAAATTGCAAAAAATTCTGATTCTATGTATGTGACTTCCTATCAGGATGTCTCCTTTGCTGTGCGGAAAACCCTGTAAATTATGAATCACTAACAAGGGATACTCACGACTCACAAATTTGTGTAAACTTAACTTGCTCAGGTCAAAGGCGTGTTTTTATTTTGTAAAAGCTTATAAAAGGTTTTACAAAATTTACACATTTTACAAAGTTACTAAGGGCTGCGTTAATGGAAACACGTCTTAACATGTAAAGATTGCTCTTTGAGATTATTTTTTTTGTCAAGTTACACGCCATAAATACGTATTCGTGTTTCTTATGTAATGCAGTAAGCAAATTTTTTGATTGCAAAGCACTGAAAGTTTTTTACAAAGTTACCAATGACTGAGTGAATTGCCACTTTGTCTTACAAGGGACACTCACGACCTGTCGTTTGAGTCCAGGGTACCCACTGTGTTTTTTAGAATCTACTAGGACCCCAGATGAAGGATTCATTCATATTTCCGTGTAAAACTCATATTTGGCGTCGTGCCGTGGCGCCAAGTTCGCCAAATTTGAATGTTTTTATTTTTGAAATCGCCATAACTTTTGAAATCCTGGACGGATTTTCAAAAGTTTTGGCAAAAATCATGACAAGGAGTTCATCTTTCTTATTCCATTAAATTTTTCAAAAATTATGGCTTTAAACTTTTCACAAAATTTCGTAATTTTCTTAGAAATGGGGATTCGTCGAAAAAATGCTAAAAATATTTCAAAAATTAGAAATTTTTTATTTTTTATTTTTTGTTAAAAATTTCGAGTTTTGTGATCATTTTAAGCCTAAAATTTTGAAAATCCCACATAAACTGCAAAAGTTATGGTGGTTTGAAGTTGGTCGAAAATGCAATTTTTTAAGTTTGGCGCCACGGCACGACGCCAAATATGAGTTTTACACGGAAATATGAATGGACCCTTCATCTGGGGTCCTAGTAGATTCCAAAAAAACATAGTGGGTACCCTGGACTCAAACGACAGGTCGTGAGTGTCCCTTGTAAGACAAAGTGGCAATTCACTCAGTCATTGGTAACTTTGTAATATCGTTTTCTTTTGTAAAAAACTTTCAGTGCTTTGCAATCAAAAAATTTGCTTACTGCATTACATAAGAAACACGAATACGTATTTATGGCGTGTAACTTGACAAAAAAAATAATCTCAAAGAGCAATCTTTACATGTTAAGACGTGTTTCCATTAACGCAGCCCTTAGTAACTTTGTAAAATGTGTAAATTTTGTAAACCCTTTTATAAGCTTTTACAAAATAAAAACACGCCTTTGACCTGAGCAAGTTAAGTTTACACAAATTTGTAAGCTAATTTTCCTTCGAGATATTTGTAAAATTTTGTAAAAGTTTGTAGAGTTACAGAATTTACGGATTTTACAATGTTACCAAGAACTGCGCGAATTAGCTCAATAAAATGAGCTCTTTTGAAATTTAACAAAATATTCGTTACAAAATGCGCCCAAAAAATTGGCACAGATAAATATTTCGCACATCGTTAACAATTAAAATAGGCATTGATAACTTTGTAAAATCAGCAAAATCCGTAAATTTACTAACATTTGCAAAATTTTACGTATATTTCGAAGGAAAATTAGCTTGCAAACTTTTGTAAACTTGCTCAGATCTAGGGCTCCTCTTTATTTTGTAAAAGTTTGCAAAATACGCATTTTAGTAAGATACCAAGAACTGCGTGAATTGACTCTTTATTTTCTTGGCGATTCATACTTTGCAAGGCTTCCTGTAAAGCAAAAGAATCATCCTGGTAGAAACTCACGTACAAAGAATCAGAATTTTTGCAAAGCGAAACGCCGTTTAAAGCATCGCAGCGCTTTTGAACAGTTTAGTAACATTTTAGATGTTTCGGAGGCTTGACAAAATTTACGGATTTTACAAAATTATAAAGTTACTTTATAACTTTGTAAAATCCGAAAATTTTCAAGCTTGAACAAAAAACTGGATGACACAAATGTAAAATTTATCCAACCATTGTGCAAAATTAGACGTTAGACAAATTGCATAAATATGCACAAATTTTGGGCAAATTTTGCATAATGGTTGGATAAGTTTTGCCTTTTGGTTGTGCCATCCTCTTTTTTTACTCAAACTTGAGGAAATTTTACTTATTTTTATTTAGAGTCTACATTATAAATTTCGCCCCAAAATTTCAGAAACGCTGCGATTCTACCCACCTGCACCGACCATGGATCGCCGTTGTACACAGGACTACGCCGTCCCCGGGACGGATGTCGTGATCAAGAAGGGCGACGGGATCATGGTCCCGGTGCTGGGCATTCATCACGACGAGCGGTACTATTCCGAACCCGAAAAATTTGACCCGGAACGATTTTCACCCGAAAATAAGGGAAAAATTAACCAGTACGCTTTCCTCCCGTTTGGACAAGGACCACGGAATTGCATTGGTGAAAATACTATATTTGTTTTACAAAACTTTCACGTTTATTCGAATTCCTAAAGTGGCCCTAAATATCTAATTTCAAAATTCTGATTATTTTTAAACATAAAAATTTAAAACAATAGATTTTAAGGTCGAGGTTAGTTAATTCACGCAGTCATTGGTAAATTTGTAACCTCCGTAAAATTGACACATGTTTCTGGGAGAATTATCTTTTTACGCTAACCATTTTTTTGGGGGCTCAAATTGCTTAAGGCTAAAAATTTAACTCCTTTTACTAATCTAAGTTTGTAAATTTGATTTTGTTTACATCTAAAAATTAAACAAAGGGATTTTAAGTTTAATAATTCACGCGTAACATTGTATATTCTGCAACCTTACATGTTTAAACAAAATTTTACCAATATTTTCATGAAAATTAGCTCCCAAAGTTTCTTAAACTTACTCGCATCAGCGGCGTCTCTTTTTTTGGAAAAGTTCGTCAAATTATTTTATACAATTTAAGGATTTTACAAGGTTATCAAGGACTTCGTGAATTAACTAATTATTTGCAAAAAATGAATAAAAATTGAATAACAGGTGAATAATTATGTTCAAAATTCCAATTCGACAAATTCATGGTTTTTTCAGGGATGCGCTTTGCATTGATGGAAGTGAAGCTAGCGATTGCCCAACTGGTTCACAATTTTGATATCGAGCCCTCCAAAAGGACGCCGATTCCGATGGAATATCAAAATGCGGGGTCTCTCATGCCCAAGGGCGGCATGTGGCTGAGCCTCAAACGAAGACCTGGCACACTTCAGGATTAGACAATAAATTGCGCACAAGTGACAAGTATTTAGTTTCTGAAGAAAATATTTTGTAAAAAAATACCAAAAATTGTGAACTCATTTTTGATATATTTTGAAATAGCTAAGCTAAAACATATACACAAAAACTGAGGAGGACAACCCTTCACCGACAGAATCACCGATCTTAACGCCCTTTGGATATGTTGTAGTCCTAGGTGAGTCTAGCAAAAGTGAAGAAGGATTTCATTCAATGGCCCCATTTGCGCCCGCCACACCCACTCAAAGGTGCGAAAAACACGAAAAATACCCTGTTTTCGTTCATTCAAAAAATCACCAAAAATCCAATTTTGATCGGATTTTCATAATTTAAGCATTTTTGTGATCCTAGATAGTTGCTTTATCATATCCAATAGCAAACTCAATTTTTTTAATTTTTTGAGTATTTTCGAAACTTTCCTGACCAGGGGTATGCCTTCGAAAAAATCAAAATTTCAAAAAAATTGAGTTAGCTATTGGATATGATAAAGCAACTATCTAGGATCACAAAAATGCTTAAATTGTGAAAATCCGATCAAAATTGGATTTTTGGTGATTTTTTGAATGAACGAAAACAGGGTATTTTTCGTGTTTTTCGCACCTTTGAGTGGGTGTGGCGGGCGCAAATGGGGCCATTGAATGAAATCCTTCTTCACTTTTGCTAGACTCACCTAGGACTACAACATATCCAAAGGGCGTTAAGATCGGTGATTCTGTCGGTGAAGGGTTGTCCTCCTGAGTGTCAATTAATCATTTTCAACATTTATTTAATTGTTCTATTTAATTATAATGTTTAATTGACTTCTAAATAATTTTTTATAAATATGTGCTGTTTTTGATAAAAAATTTATTGTTATACATGTCAGGACATTTAAAATCCATGCAAGTTCATTATTAGCAAGCAGATTTTCTAAATTTTCGAAAACAGTGGATATCTATTAAAAAACAGTAATTGGAATTAGTGGTAAGTACAGATAGAATTAATTTCCAAGTTTATTATTTTTAGAAATTTATGGCTTGTTTTGCTTCTATTTTTTCAATTTGCTAGTCATTTATGCTACTTTCAAAGTTTCAAAAATTCAGATTTTCATGCTTTCACCATTCCACAACTATTATTTTCACACGAGTACATACTTACTCATGGGAAATTTAATCTTCGTTCATAGCCATATATTTTGTGACATCGACAAAATTTTTTACAAACATTGGAAAATTGATTAACTTTGCCACTATTTAAAAAATTGTAACTATTGTACTGCACAATTTAATTTTTAGATTTTAAGAATCTGGGTGATTACGTTTTTCCAACAAAATTTAATCAGATTTGCTTTACTTTAACATGTTAAGGTATAATGTTAAGGATACCTCAGTTTTTTTCTGAAAAATAAAACTCTTACAAAATTCTTACAGATTTTCAATAAAAATTCAATTGAAACTATATATTTGTACTTATGTATGCATCTATCTATGTATTAAAATATGTGCAGGCATCCAGGCCTGTAACGACGTTTTGTCCGGCCTGGAGAGTTTGGCCCTGGTACGGCCTCACATGCCCCCAAAAAATATTGAATCCTTGATTTTACCTAGTGTGTTTTATTGCTGACTCTGATTTTATCTAGTGTAGACTACTGCTGACCTCGATCTTATCTAGTATATTCCATTGAATCCCTGATTTTATCTAGTGTATTCTATTCTATTACTGACCCTGTCGGTACCGCCCCTCCAGCCGTACGGCCTGGAGAGTGTCTCTCCACCTCTCCACCGTCGCTACGGCGCTGAGGCATGCATACCGGACAGAAAAAAGTCAAAATTTCATAAAATTTTTGGTGATGTATAAGAGTTTTCGGATTGTTTCTTCAGATACTTATATAGATGTGCCTTCATGGACACGTATTTTCCCCATTTTACTGGTGACTGGACAATAACAACGGCGAATATTATGTAACAGCTGAAAATCTTAGCTTCATAAATTCCTGCTTATGAAAGTACGAAGAAGCCCAAGTTGAGGAAAAGTCGTGCAATTTAAGGTCGAGCCATTTTCCTGAAAACTTTCTCCCACAAAACGACAGACAAATATCTCGACGGAATTAAAACCATGAAATTAGCAAAAGTTAAAGCCGACCCGACGGATTACTTGATAATATTTCTTTATTCGGGGTACTCACGAAAAATTCGTTAGCATTTTAAATAATTGATGCAAACTCCAGCGACGCAGGAAACCTGAAAAGACTACGATTTATCTATAATATTAAAAGCTTTGCTTTGAAAGTTTGTAACCTGCTGCAGATAATCAATTGTAGATATATTTTTTTAAATCAAGTTAAACGTTTTTTCATACTTTTTAAAAATGTAATTTTAAGCAGCTTTTCAAATTGTATTTTAACCAGGTTAATTTGATCTTGTTTTGGAATTTTACACATTGTATTAATAATAGGTTTGAAATTGAGCAAATCAAAGTTAATATAAGATCTTCTATCATCTTGGCGTCGTCTTCAATGCTCCTGGTTTATGTGTATTTTATCTGATTATCTAAAAAAATCATATTTTTCATTATAAATCGCATATTTGCTTTGCAAATTTTATAAAATTACTTTTACAATAGTTTTAGTATTTAACTTTGTAATGTTTGTAATTGTGGAAATTTTGTGAGGGCTTAACGCTGTATTAATAATTTTTGTAAAATTCGCACGTCAAAGTTAATACAAAAATTCTTTCACTGTACTCATCTATGACCAAAATTTTTTTTTAATTTTAATTTTAGTGTTGAGTAGTTTTTAAAATGTAATTTTAAGCAGTTTAAAAAACCAAATTGTAAACCATTTTTAAAAAATTGCTTTAAAAAAGTTACTTTTAAAATTTAATTCCAAACAGTTTTTGAGCAGCTTTTTTCAAATTTAATTTTGAAACTTGGAATTTAGTATATGCTTAAATATGTATTAATAGTATTCATAAAATCGGGTAAAGTAAGTTCAAAGATAGAAATTAGGTGGATCATAAGATCATAAGAAACGAAACAAAAAGATTTCCCAGTCCCTCTCCACCAGTATGATGTATTTTTTTTTACATGACGACATTACAAATTATAAATGTTTTTTTTAATTAACTTCAATTAAAAAATGTGTTAAATTTCACTAAAATCATCAAGGAATGCTAATCGACAATCAAAATATTCCCAGTAATTTTAATTGACCACCTTATTTCCGTTTTCACCGGATCCGTCGCATTAATTTCCATGCCGCTGAAACTTTCGATTTTTCGATTGAATGGTGTACTGATTTTATGGCGCATATCAGAGTGTAGTCGGATTGATGTTTTTTAAAATCCGATCCGACTTGGTCGGATCCTAATTAAATCCGAACCCATCCGACTTGGTCGGTTGCTAAAAAAATCCAATCTGACTTGACCCAGGGTGCATAGAGGAGAGGTCCTTAGGAGAAACCACGGACAACAAAAATGTTTATGCACCCTGGACTTGACCGGATCTTAAAAAAACCCGATCCAATCCGATCCGATTGAATCTAATCTGATTAAAACCGATATCCTGCACGTGCACTGCATTGCATTGCACGTGCAATTAGTGCATATACATAAATTTTGCAAGACAATATTGCAGAATATGTACTCTCTAAAAAGTGCGGTTACGATAACCAGAAAGTAAGCATACACGACTCTACCGTCATAGTTATAAGTTTGTCGCCAACTGGTTATAAACCTATCACCACTAGTAACAAATTTAATACCCGTGGTGATAAACTTATGACCAATCGGTGAAAGATTTATAACTATGCGGTATACTTATATGTGATTACTTTCTGGTTATAATCGTAACCGAATTTTTTAGAATACAAAATCCAGAGGTCTTAATTTCTCCCGAGTTTAAACATTTTGTCTTAATTTTTCACAATGTTGTTAACAACCTGATAGAGTCACATGTGACTCTATATATGCATATATAATTCGCACTGGTATTGATTTGGTAATAACTTCCTGCCGGATTTGTAGTAAATTTTGGATGAGTTTTTCACTTGATGGATTTTTGAACTGCTAACCAACTTTTCCTGACTAGCCCGATCGACTATTTCGGTCATTTAATTTTTGAAATTTAACAAATTTAGAAAACATTTTTGCATGATTATGTAAATGACTTTACATTCTAGGAAGCGATGGCCACATCTAAATTATTATTTAAATTTCACGTATTTTACAAATACTTTTAATACAGCGTCGAGCTCTTACAAAATTTCAATTATCAAAACGGGAAAACTACTTACAATGCGATGGTGTGAAGTGTAACCCTCCGATTTGGCTGAAAGTTTGAAATTACGTGGTGCATGTCAATACAACCAACTTTTCTTCAGTGAGTTTGTGCGATGGTCAGAATTTGCCAAAATATTTTAGGTCAAAGTTGAAAAATAAGCAATTTTTAGTGTGGGAAGAGAATGGAAGTTGAGTTTGCTTCTTCCGCCTGGTAAAAATCGCCCGTTTTTTAGCTTTGACCTCAAATATTTTGGCAAATTCTGACCATCGCACAAACTGCTTGAAGAAACGTTGGTTCTATTGACATGGACCACATAATTTCGAAATTGCAACCAAATCGGAGGGTTACACTTCACACCATCGCATTGTTAATATTGAGATTGGGAAGCTTATTATCTCTCGCAGGTTACAAAGTTTCCAAGAAAACCTTCAACATAATATGTAATTTTATCAGAATTATTGCAACGCAGGATTTTGCATAAGTTTGTTAATTGTTAACCAACGTTTTCGTGAGTATCCCGGAAAAAAAAATATTTTCGAGTATACTCCGTTAACTTTTGTTTTCTCTCAATCGGCAATTTCATCGTTTTAATTTGGTCGGGATATTTGTGATTCGGTGTTAAAAATCTGGTAGAGTTACATATATATTCCGTACTGGTATTGATTTGGTAATAACTTTTTACCGGATTGGTAGTAGTTTGTTGCAGAATGACAAATTGTTCATTTACATGACATTACTAATCGGTAATGTCCGTTGTTAAGATTGCCTGTGGAGTTATATATATCCTCCCATCAGTAATAATTTAATACCAGTTTTCTAAGAGTGTAGATTTTAGTTTGTATTAATAGCGTACAAATTTGTGAAGATTTTGTAAAGAAGTAAGTGAATACAAAAATATTAACAAATGGTATATTTATGATTAGAACTTTATTTGCATGTCAGACTTTTAAAAT